CAGAATCCTTATTCTTAAAACAAATAATTTTAACTATTAAAATATAATATATCTATCTCGTTAAATTATATAGTGTTGTGATATTTTAAAATAATTGTAGTTACTTAATCAAAAGATGTTTATTATTAAATTTATTTTTAGTTTTATTTTTAGCATCTCTTAAAATATTCAGTAAAAAGTGATTGTTTTTGAGAAATTATATAATATAAGTAAAATAAAATTTATATTTTTACTGTAATTGTAAGATATTATAGTCAAACAAATTTAGTAGAAAAAATAATTTCAATAATTCATAAAGAAATATCAATTAAACATATATCAGTTTATTTTAGTTGATTATTTTATGTAATCATCTAATAAAATAGATAGATATATACAAAAATAATTATTTTGAAAATAAATAAATTTTATTGTTTAAAATTATTTTTTTTAAAGAAAAAATATTTCTTTTTCTAATAGTAATATTTTTTTGTGTGAATTTTTTTTTATGAAATCACACTATATACATATATTGTTTTTTTATCGAAGAAGATATAGATATAAAGTATTTTATTACTTCAAAGGTATATTTTATGTTATTTAAAATATATTTAAATTAAATATTACTATTTTGTGAACTTTCCTTTTTTCATTAAACCATATTATATATACTTATATTTTCGTTTTTAAATAGTTTTTTATATTTTTAAATGTTTCCTTTTTATTTTAAATTGTTATTTGGAAATTTTTAAAAAGGAAATAATATTTAATTGTATTTTAATTCATTAGGGGTATCATAGTAATCAACCAACGTGAGAGTTAACGTGAGCGCGACACCTAAGAAAGTGACTTCTCAAATAATATTATAGAGATAGCAAAACATTTACATTGTTTATGGGGCCAATTGTTCGAGGTCCTCTCAAAATTCAACAAAAAAATATACATCATCCGATCTAACTTAAGAACATCTCCAAAAGATATTTTATAACTTCAAATTTAAAGTTTTGAGTAATAAAACTTCAAAACTTCAAATTTAAAGCTTTGAGTAGTAAAACTTCAAATATAGAATGACAATATTCAAAACTTCCAATTTAAAATTTAATATTTATTTACATTTTGATCCTTACAATTACACATCGTATTTATATTTTATAAATATTTTGTTGTTTATCTTTTTAATCCTTAAATTTTTTATCTCATAAATATTTTAAAATTATTTTTATAAATTTTAATCATAATGTTTTTCTTAAAAACATCAAAAATAAGATTTAAAATATTTTAAAACTAGAATTATACAACAACACTATTATAAGACTTAATGTTGTATTTTGTTTGTAATTTAATATTTAATTATATGTTTCTATTTATAATTTTCTATTTTACGAACATTTTATCAATTAATGTTACTGGAATATTTTTATATATGTGATAATATTTATAAAAGTTATATGAATTTGAATTAGATATCACAAATATAGGACAATAGTATAAATTACAAATAGTTTTGATGTTAAGTTTGAAGTTTTGCTTTTGAAATATAATACCCTTAAACTTCAAATATAGAGTTTTGCAAACTCTAAAATATAGATTTTTTTTTTTAGAGATGCTCTAACATATCCTAGGCTCCTAACATTAACTAAAGTTGATTCTAACCTAACATATCCTAGGCTCCTAACATTAACTAAAGTTGATTCTAACCTAACAAACCCTAGGCATTAACAACGTTGATCGGTTGATTTTACTTCATTTTTTTGTTAACGGAAGTTTAAAAATAAAAATAACTTGTCCAAATCTGAGTATTTTCGACCAATTAAAAATAAATATTTGGAAAAGCATGTATTTAATTTTTTTTTGTTTTGTTTTAATGATGATTTATTATGTAAAGGTTGCTAGACGACTCAATACCGATAATACTATTTGCTTTATAAAAATTAACGTCTAATTGTATCAATTAGCCGTCCTCTAAAGATTCATATCTGACCAGGTTCACTTAGATCATATTAAAGATATTTTGAAACATTTCTCCGGTTAATTTCTACAATTGTTTAATAAATCACCTTATCAGAGAATGACGAATCAAACCTCATTTTTTCAGGTTGATTTGATTATGGTTTGGATTTTATCAATTACATGAACAAATCTTATATCTTTAGAATCTAAAAACTTAAAATAATTAGAATCAAATTGTGAACCTAGTGAATATCCGATTTTCTATTTAAAATTGTCTGAGTTATCCATTTTCTATTAGAATTTTTTTTTTTTGATATTTAATATGAAAAATCTGAATTTCTGACTTTTAACTTAAATTAACCGAAAAACCAAAACTAAACCGGAACCTAATAAGATTCAAAGTATTCCCAATTTTGTAGCCGAACGAAACCGAAACTATCAAACCAAACCGAACAAATTTTCTTAATATGTGAACAAATTATAGATCTCTAGAACCAAAGAACTAAAAAGATTGAATTGAAACTGAACCGAGAACTAAATGTCCATGACTAACTAAAGACTGCTATATAGTTTTGTAGGGAGCCATGTTTTATTGGAAAAGATAAAAAACTACGAAGATAGATTTTCGTTGAGTTTGAGGGATATTTAAGCATTTGATCCATATACATATCGTCCCTTAAACAAAGTATCACATACTTTTACCATTTCAGTGTTAGAGATCTTACTTCATTTCCTCTAAAACGAAATGACTCCTCGATCTTTCTCTCTCTTCTGCTTAACTCTCATATTCTACCTTTCCTTACACCACCATCTTCTCTCAGCTTCTCAATTCGAAGGATTCGATGCTGAAGACGACGATGCATCCGAAGATTCCTCTGATCTCCACCACTCTCTCCTGCCTCCGCCTACTATCACCCAGTCACTTCCCGATCCACAACCATCTCCCGATCCCATCCCTGAATCAGACCCCGAGCCTCCCTCAGATCCCTCCTCCACGCCCTTCGATTTCTGGGATGAAGACGAGTTCGAAGGTCTGCCCGTGGAGACAGAGACGACGATCGACTCTCCACTGACTGCAGAAAACGCCACAGAGACGGTAGATCCAAAGAACACCTCCACAGCTCAAGAACAAGAAGAAGTCGTGAAGAAGAAGAAGTCGTACGCTATCGAGATCGCTTGCGTCTGTTTCTTGATCGCTCTCGGAGTCAACTACTTGGTCGGAAAGCGTGAGAACGAGAGGCTCGCTTTAGCCTGGGCGGCCAAATTCGCTTCCAAGGACACTATATTCCACAAGAATTTCAGTTTGCTAGGGGTTGGTGACGGAGTGGAGTCGCCGTTGTTGCTTAAAGAAGCGTTGAATGTGTTCAAATTCTACGCGAGCGGACGCAGGTACTGCCATGGGTTGCTTGCCACCATGGAGCTTAAGAGCAGGCACGATCTCATCTCCAGGGTTTTCAACTTGGTGGTGCCTTGTAAAGATGAGATCACCTTCGAGGTTTACATGAACGAAGATGCCATGGATCATGTCGTGTTCGCGATGGCTAAGAAGAAGGCGGCCAAAGCTATGCTAAAGGAGGTGAAGGATCTGCAGAGATTCGCTGGGGTTGTGTCTCCTCCCGCCGGGAGGAAGTGGGTTTCCGAGGAGCTGAGTGTGATCTCTGAATCCAAGGAAGTTGCTGGGGATATGATCACAGACACTGTGCTTGATCAGGTAAAGATTGTTCCACATCTATCTTTCGCAGATTCTACAGTAGAACTGTATCTTTGTATTTACTGGTGTTTTAGTTATAGCAAGAATCAGTTCCTAGGTCAAAGGAAGGAGCTTACCAGATTGAGAACTAGTTGTCACAATTTGGCTCATCTTTTAGTTTAATCTGATTTGGAGTGTACTTGAACAGGCTTTGTTGTTTGTCCAGTGAGGTGAGTGTAACATAAGTTGGAAGGAAGGTTTAGTGTCACTAAGCATCATGACCTTAGTAATTCAGTAAAGGATTTTGTCCCATGGCTCTATTTCTGTTTGTATCTGTGTATATGGCAAAATAGGGAAAGCAATCGCCTTCAATATGAACCTTAATTCGATTTAACACAAATTTTAGGTTTTGCTTGATGCTGTACTTTATGTATCGTTTATAACATGTTTTCGCTGCATTAACCACGTACGGGCATGCAATGGAACTCTGTAGGTTTTTGGTGACAAGGCAATGGAGAAGTATGGGAAGAATTTCATGTCGATGCATATCTCTGACCAACACCCTGGCAAACACAGGAAGATGATGCTTTTCAAGTTTTCCTTACCAGATGCTAAACACATGGATGATATTGTCCGGCTAGTGGCGCTAATTCCGTACTACATCGACTTAGTAGGACGGTACAGACTCAGTTCCCAGGTAAGGGAAAAAACTTATTAGTTTATAGCCTGGTCCAGAGTTACATGCATTGCAAGGCTGAGTATAGTATTTGATTTAATTAAGGCACGGAACAAAACCGAGACCGGTAGGCAAAAGGCAGCAGAGGAAGCTTACAAGGAACTTCAGAATGCTAGGCAAGAAGCATTGCAGAAGAAGAAAGCAGAGAGGAAGAAACTGATGGAGGAGGCGGAAGCAAAGCTGAGCGCAGAAGTGATTAGGAAGAAAGAAGTTAAAGAAAGAGCAAGGCAGGTGAAAAAGGCAATGCCCAAAGTTAAGATGAGTCGTGGTCACTAAGCTAAAAGTTCAATTTTGTTTCATTAAGACCACTCTTTAAATTTCAAAAGCATATCAAACCTTATCACGTGTTTTACTCGGTAGCTTTCTTTTGCTTTTCATTCTCCTATCCATTAAAATACCATTTTTGAATGATGTTGGAGCTTTTTATGTTGATGTGGAAAGTCATGTGAGAGCTTTCTAGAGTATTAATGGCAAATGGCATAGGGCAGCCTTGTATCTGTTGGAATTTAGAGAATGAGAACTTGAAGAATCACAAGAGTTCATGAAAGAGTAAAGTTGATATTCCAAAGATGAAGCACAAGCAGAGTAAACCAACGCGTCATGAGGTTAGATGGTGAGAAATCTTTTAAGAGAGAACCAAATAATATCACAATTTTAATTTAGAGTTGCGTACTTTGAGAAAATGAGTGAACATATAATTAATTATTGAATGAAAATGAAATAAACTGATCAAGAGATTGTTTTCATGAAGAACACAAAAGAACAAAAATAGTTTGAAAAAAAAGATTGTGATTAGTTTTCTTAGAAAATGCTATGTCATCACTCATCAGACAAATCTGCAAGAGCTATCATCAACACACTCACTTTTTTTCAGCCAATGAAATTAAATAAAAAAGTCGGTTAAACATCTTCGGCAAATAACAATATGATAGGGGATAATTTTAGATAAAAAAAAGAGGGGAAATTGGCCAAAAAAGCTATATTGAAAATGAATTTGTCCTCTTATACCTTTGAATCTATAATTTTTCCCTATATACTTTTTTTTAATACGAAACTAACCTCTATTTAAATAAATAACATAATTTACTACAATTTAGAATAATAACCATAATTTTCTTCTTAATTTTTAATTAAAAAGGAAAAAAAAAGAAAAAAAATCATAAATATTATTCGTGTCGTTTTCTTGCTCATTCTGCTTTCAAGGAAAAAAAAGACGAAGCTTTGGTGGTCTCTTGCACTTTTCGAACGCTAGCTCTCGCGCTGTCTCTCCGGTGTTATCTCTAGCTATCAAATCCTGCAGCACCCTCTCTTTTGTATATCATTTGAGTTTCTTTTTTTATTTTAGTTCATTTTACATAGTCATCTCTGACGGATTCATTTCTGACGGATTCATCTGTCCACTGTAATTTTTTAACGCTAGTCAATGTAAATTTTTGTTCAAAAAATAAATAAATTTGAATAAATGTAGTTTAGATTGCTTCCTATATTTTCTCAGATTTAAAAACATAAAATAACTGAAAATATATAATACAAATTCTAAATTGGATGGAACAGAGACTAAAAGTTATAATATAAATTCTTTTCTTTTTAGAATATATGATAAAGAGAAGAACAAGATTTTTTATCTGCGATAGACGATATAATATAAGATAAATAGAGGTAAACATTTTCTAGATTTTTCTACAATAAATTAAAAAGCCTAAATATATATTGTATGTTAGAAATAACAAAGTGTTTTGGTTAGAATTGAAGCATGCGTATTCTATCTGTAAATAGATCATAGATATGAGTTTAGCCATGAAAAAGGGTAATTGGCAGAATAGCTATTTAACCTAACAATTCTATACACACCGTTACATTTCCATATTAATATGATTCTACCCCTTCACCCAACCGGTTGCACCTGATAAAAGACAAAAAATTTAATTATTATCTTCATAAAAGTAAGTTGTCTCTTGCCGACGTTCACAATTTCTTCTTTTCACTTTCTCTAGTAACTAGGCGAAAGATCTCCCGCTCCGATCTGCTCCAACGCCTTGACTTCACATGCAATCAAAAGCTTCTCCATCTTGTTGTCCTCGCTTTTCAATTGTCTTCCGCGTTAGGGTTCTTCACCAACTCGATCCTTCTTAGATCTCTGAAACTCCTGTAAGTTCTCTGTGTCTTTCGTAGATTCTCTTCAATGTCTATTTGTTGTGCTTATTTTCTTTCAATTTGGGGCTCGTCTCAGAATTAGGGTGTTATAACTGCTAAGTTTGTACCATCGTCCGATGTGGTTTGGTGTTGCTTTCTATGCTGGTTTTGGCTGTATATGATTCTAGTTGTTCGTGGTCTTTCTTAAACTATATTTGTGTTTTTCTCATATGCATAGTAAATGGTGTAGTAATATTGTTTCGATATGGAATAGCATATTCGTTACATACGGGTTTTACCATCTGGAAATGACATGATCTTCATTAGGTGTATTCCATTTGACCTAAAATAAAATAAAATATAGACATTTGTATTCCATTTGACATGGAATAAAATAAATTCGAACATTATATTTAATATCACCTTCTTTAATTTCCAAATTCATACTTGTATTTTATTTATGTATTTTTATACTTTTAGTAGGGTTTATATTTCTGTGTAGGGTTTGGGTGATGATTGGAGAGGGGTTAGCTTCAGGAAAGTGAGTTCTTCATTGCAAGATTGGGGTTGACATTAGATTACGTGTCGTATCTCCGTTTAGAATTTCATGATTAGTTGATAAGGTTTCATATATATATATATATATATATATATATATATTCTCATGTGTGGTTTAAGATCGAGAGATATGCATATCGTTATGTCTTACATGGTTTTCATTCCACATTATTGTAATACTGTACAATTTATTTTACATTTACTTTGTTATAGGACCATAACATCTTTATTTTTCGCTTTTGTTTCTCAGGTTAAAATTGGAAGATTTAGGCTGTGAAGTAGATTGTTCGAAACTAGATTTGAGCCACTTGATGAATATATTCTAATTTATATGTAATGATGCAATGTGTATGCAAGTGGAATAGATTGTGTGTACATAAAATGGAAAGACCATTCATGTGAATGAAATATATGATATTTACTATTTGTTGTATTCTATTCTATTTGCAGAACATAAATATGATTGTACAGTGCATAACATAAGTTATGTTTTTGTTGTTATATCATTGTTATCAATCTTAGTTTATGTGTATATATAGCAAAACGGAAAATTTAAAATTTTATTTTATCATTTCGTTAACTAGATCCACATAAGTGTAAACTTCACACAAATTGCATTAACCACAACTACATTTATTGTTTGGGTTTATAATTTATATTTGAGTTTAGAGTTTAATAAATAAATTTTAAGGTTTAGAATCTACAAGGTGAGTGCGATTGGGGGTTAGGTTTATGAGCTAAGGAAAAATAATTTCTTTACATAATTTAAATATTTGGGGTATATGGTTCACATTTGGGTTCAGGGTTTAGTGATTACGGTTTAGGGTATAGTATTTTGTCGGTGGAGGGGGTAAGGTTGGGTTTAGGGTTTATGATTTAAGATAAATTAATTTTTTACATAATTTAAATATTTGGGTTTAAAGTTTAGTGATTAAGGTTTAGGGTATAATATTTTGTCGGTGGAGGGGGTAAGGTTGGCATTAGTATTAACTTCTTCCATGATATCATAGATATTTAATAATTTTACCAGTATGTACTATGCTATCTATTTAGTTCATTTCTATTTAGGTTGAGGGTTATATTTTATTTTAGGGTTTATTTTGGAGTTTAGTGTTTAATGATTATAGTTTAAGGTAAAGTATTTAGGGGTTTATGGTGGGTTATTATATGGTTAATTATTAAGAGGTTGTATGAGGTCGGTGTTATAGTTTATGGTTTATAATTTTGTTTATGGTTTATGTTTGAGTTAAGGTTTAGTGATTAGAGTTTAGGGTTTAGTATTTAGAAGGTGAAGGGGGTAATTATGGTCATCATTAATTTTTTCTATGCAATCATAAATATTTAATTCTATTTGGATCTAAGGTTTATATTTGGATTTTAATATCTTAAAACAATTTATAGATTTTATTTAGATTTATAGTTTCTTTACTAGGGTTTAGATTTACTAAATAGAGGTTTGTGTATATTATGTAGTTGTTGTGGTTGGCTTTATATGTATAACTAGGACCCGGCCCGCCCTACGGGCGGGATATAATCTAAAAGTAATTTAAATAGTTAGAGTAAATATTTTTGATTTTTATTTAATATTTGTTGTTATTTAAAATTTTTTTTTCTATAGTAGTATGAAACATTATTTATTGATTGTTATTCTTTATTCAGTTTCATTCCCGTTACAATTAACTAAATTTCTCTGTACGATTAATAAAATTGTTTATTTGAAGTTTTATTCTATTTTTATTTTGATGGTGTAAAATTGTTGATTTATTTTTTTGATTTGAAGTTATCTAGTTTTATTTATTCTTTTACATTATTTTATATTGTGCGTCTCTTATTCGACTATTTAACTATATATTTAATTTTACACAGTTGTGGACCTATGTTTATAGTTTTTTAAAATAAATACTTGACATAAATATTTAAAATACATTCTACATTTGTTTAGTTAGAATAAGTTAACATATCTCTTTTTATATAAGAAATTATTCATTTTTGCTTTATATATATTTTTCTGTATTTTATTATATTTCTCCTAACAATTATTTTTAGTATCTATTAAATTAAATTTTTATTGTGGTCTTATTTTCGTAATTTTTTTAAATATATTATGTATTACTATCTCTTAAAATAATTATTAATTAACTCCAAATCTAAAACCAATGTCTTAAAATTAAAAGTTTTTTAAATATAATATGTCAAATGGATTATCAACCAATAACATTAAAATCTTCTTGATTATCAACCAAGAACAGTTCTTGATATCAAGGAACAAAAAAAGAACATGTTTCATTAGGTGACGAAGTATGCTCCTAAAGTAACCAATATAAGAAAGCAAAGGCCTTCCACTCCGCGTCCTCCTTAAAACCTTTGCGAAAATGACTGTCCCTATCTCCACCACAGGCTTGCCTTGCCTTGCAAACTCTGCAACTTCAACACCATCTTCATTATCCTTAACAATCCCCATTTTACCATGAACCAAGAAATCCCGACATCTTCTTCATGTTTGAAGAATTTAAGAAACGGCTCCTGCCGAACCAGGCCACCGCCTTCTTACCCACATTGAAACCCGACATTCTAAAACAAATTAGCATTATTGTCAAAATCAAGAACCAAATATACTAATAAAAGTAAAAAAAGAAAAACAAAAGCTTTCACTGTCAAAGAAACTATTTATGCAAACCATGAACCCAACCAGAAATCTGAATGAGACATTTATCATCCTCTTCTTTGGATGCTTCTGCAATTCTTCTTTCTATGAAGAGCAAAGGAAATTGCACATAGCATAGAATCAAAAACGCTATAAGAAAAAATATACAACATTGTT